AGCTGGCGGGCCCGGGAGCCGCTCTTTGGGGCTGCTAAGAGCGGGGGACAGAACCGATCTCCGGAGCAGGAGCCCCGGGCCCTGGTGGTTCATTGCAGCTAGTGAAGGGAAAGGCCCGGAGCTGCCCCGCAGGGGCATCGTAGCGATTGTGCGAGCGCATCGAGTCCCCTCTGGTGCGCCCATGGGAAGCCCGCTGTGCGCGCTATTGCCCGTGCTCCTGGCCGCCTGCTGCCACCTGGGGCTGGCCTCGGGGGAGCGCACCGAGGCCAGCGGCTACCGGGAGGAAATCGTGTTTCCGGAGCGGCTGGCGGGCGTGCCCGGGGAGGGGCAAGGGCGGCTCCTCTACCGCCTCCGCGCCTCTGAGGAAGAGCTGCTGCTGGAGCTGGAGCCGGACCCCAGCTTCCTGGCGGAGGGGCTGACCGTGCAGTACCTGGGGCCGCCCACGGCGGAGGACGGCGCGGCCGAGCCGGGCAGCTACTACACGGGCACGGTGAACGGCGACCCGGACTCGGTGGCGGCCGTGAGCTACGACGGGCTGTCGCTGCTGGGGGTGCTGCAGTACCGCGGCGCCGAGTACCACGTGCAGCCCCTGGCCCGCGGGCCGTCCAACGCGGCCCACGGGGCCGGCGCCCACGTGCTGCGGAGCAAGCGGCCGGAGAGAGCCCATGGCGCCAGGTGCAGCGTGGGGGCCCAGGCGCCGGACGAGGCACCAGCTGGGGGCAGGGAGCCCCGCGCCCCCGCAGCGGCCCGGAGCAGAGCGAAGGTAGGGGCGGGGCCGGGCGCTTGAGAGCAGGTGGGGCTGCCCCACATGCGGCTTTTGGCCGGTGACCTAGGTCCTTGCTCCAGATGCCGGGGAAATCCTGCAATGTGGCAGCCCGGCCAGATTGGCCCTGCCCTTTGGAGGGGGGGTGGGGGTACCGGCTAGATTCCCGTCCCTGCGGATGCGGGGGGCGGATGCGGGTTAGTTTCCTGTCCCAGAGTGGCAGGGGGTAGAGTTCCCAACTTTGGCTGGCCGCATTCCTGGAGGTGGCGTCACGGGACAGCATCTTTCATTAAGGATTAATCTTTGATTCCTGGCTAGCGGGGATCCCCAGCCTGGGGCAAGGAGGGGGCAGCTGTCCCCTCCCCCCTCCCCGGAGATAGTCCTGGAGGGCTGGCAACCTGATCCCAGCCACTTCCCTGTCCCTAGGGGGGGTGGATCCCGGCTACGTGCCAACCCAGTAGCAGGGCCAGGCTGCTGTGGGACAAGCTGCTCCCTCCCTTTGGGTCACTGGATGATTCTCACCTTGGCCCTTTGCCTCCCAACCCAGCTGGGAGGGTGGCTGGCTGCCAGGGAAATCGCTGCTCCCCTACCTCCTACTCCTCCCCGCTGCAGGAGCTGCCCTGGGGCATGCAGGTTGGCACAGGCTCCCAACTGCCCCCTGCACCTCACATTGGCCTCTGGCTGGGCTAGTCTGTCCCTGCTGTGGGAGGGGAGCAGGGTCTAGGGGTCAGAGCAGGGGGCCATGGGCTTTGGGTGCTATTTCCAGCTCTGCACAGACATAATGACCCCGGACAAGTCCCTTTCCTGCTCCGTGCCTCAGTTTCTCCCTTTATAAAATGGGGTTGAGCACATTCACGCCCCCTGGCTGAGATAGTGAGTGGTCTTAGCCCCTGGGCAAAGGCCAGGGACCAGCATACGGCACTGAAACCCGGCCACGAGGCAGGCAGCGCAGGTGCCCCTCGCCCACCTCTGACCCTCCCCCTCCCCCACAGCGGTTTGCCTCGGTGCCACGCTACGTGGAGATGCTGGTGGTGGCAGACGAGCACATGGCCCGGTTCCACGGCGCGGGACTCAAGCGCTACCTGCTGACCGTCATAGCTGCCGCTGCCAAGTTCTTCCGCCACCCCAGCCTGCGCAACCCGGTGACTCTGGTGGTGACGCGGCTGGTGGTGCTGGGGTCCGGCGAGGACGGGCTGCAGGTCACGTCCAACGCTGCCCAGATGCTGCGCAACTTCTGCCAGTGGCAGAAAGGGCTCAACAAGCCGGACGACGCCGACTCGGAGCACTTCGACACGGCCATCCTCTTCACCCGGCAGGTACGGCGCCCCCTCCGGCATGGCCCCTGCCCAGGGCCGCGCTCCTCCCAACTGTCCTCCCCGGCCGTAGGGGCTCAATGCCAGCTGCCCACACCGCATCCGCGAGGGCCAGTGCCAGCAGTGGGCATCGGGCTGAGAGGCCCAGGTGGGGGGCAGGCACCTGTTGGAGCAGGGGACCCATGGAGGGGCTTTCTGGTCAATCCCTGGGTGCCCCTCCCTCCCCCGGCTCGCAGGGAAGTGGGGGTGGTGTGAGAGCAGCAAGCCTCAGGCCCAGGGGCGTGGCTGGCCCCACGCGGCAGGACCCCGTCCCAGCACCCCACATGCCCCAGCATGTTCTCTCCCACAGGACCTGTGCGGTGTCTCCACCTGTGACACGCTGGGCATGGCGGACGTGGGCACCGTCTGTGACCCCACCCGCAGCTGCTCCATCGTGGAGGATGACGGGCTGCAGGCGGCCTTCACTGCGGCACACGAACTCGGTAAGTGCCACCAGCCAGGCAAGGCCGGGTATCACGGGGCAGCGAGAGCCCAGAGTGCTGCCTAGCACGGAAGCTGAATCCGGCATGGCCAGGCTCAGCCGTTCCCTCTCCAGTGCTCACCCCAGCTCCATCTCTCCCCCTCGGCACACTGACTCCCCCCTCCCATCCTCCTCTGGCTCCATCTCTCCCTACCACGCGCTGACCTCCGCCCCACCCGCTCCATCACCCCCCCTCCCCTGCACAGCACCTGAGATTGGAATCCAAGTATCACCAGGCTCAGCTGCTTGATTGCCCCCCAGCCTAGGGCTCTGTCTGCGTGCCCTCCCCACGGCAGCCCCCCCCCCC